GATGCTTCTAAGTCCGTTACCACCTAGAGGTTATATTCTACAATGAAGCTATCGATACGTGAGCTATTCTCATCATGCTGTTTTTATGCCTGTTTTAAAATCTGAATGAAGCACAGAGGGAGTTCTATGACAGAGAACATACTGACAAAAAACTCTTTAACCCCATCCTTCTTACAGTGAATAGCAACAGAGATTTGGGTGCAGTTGCCCCATCATGCACTTTAGCTGTTGATCCCTACATATAAGCCAAGAAATAAAGGCAAATGGAGGTGGGGGTTTATGAGAGGGTAGCTCTGTTAATACCAGACTGGTGAATGGGTTTAATTAAAGATCTTTTTGTTTGTGCTCCAGCAGAAAAATTAGAGGCAGCTGCCTTACACCTATAAAGATTATTCTTCTATCTAGTCCAGTATCTCTCAACCAAAGCCCTATTCAGGCTTTACAGCTTATATGTGGGCAGGGCTTCCCCCTCTCCATGTGCAATTCACTGAGACCTTTATGTGAGGTCTGAAGGTCCAAACGTTCTGAAACAAAGACTGTAGGTGTGCTAGGCTCAACACCCTTACAGTGTTCTCATGACTGGGAGGCCAGATTAGGCAATGCCTCTAAATCATACAAGTACTCTAAGCATGTTGATCCGAGCACACTCAGTCTTTCCTTCAGACTTTTGTATTCCTCACACAAAGTTCTCAGTGACTTCTAGGGGGCAAGGGGACATGAGAGTGGGTGTGAATTACAACCCTAATAACTCTTTCAGCCTTCCACACAGCTTCAGACCTAACACTTGAATAGAGCTCTAGTGTCCTCAAGGTACCTCGGGCCAGGTGAATGGGTGTTGCAATCCAAGATATATGAAGAGGGACAATTTGGGGAAGAGAGACTGACTCTCTAGCATTGGCTCTTCAGACTGGTAGGCAGAATTCTTTCACATCCGGTACCATGTGGCTGTTTGAACTAGGGAAAGCCCACACCTGCTGGTACTGAGCTACTGTCCTTCCCGTGCACACCACAGTAGCTGATCTATATAACTGGGAGATCGATCTATATAGCTGTCAGAAATCCTGTGAGAAGCTGGAGTGAACATCTGGGCTGCTCATTTCCTAGAAGGAAGTATGCCTGCTTTTTTTGTTTGCTGAGCATGCTGGGGGTGCAGTGGAAAGAAAAGTGAGAAGGCATAAGGATAACCTGGCATGGCCATCAGTTCCCATGGTACAGAAACACTTTTCTCTCCCAGCTGAGATGAACTGTAGCCAGAAAAGCAATGTAAGAGCTTTAACCTCCAAGTAAGTCCCTCTAGGCCCAATTTTCCTTGTTATAGTAAGATTCCCCTCCGCTCAGAAAAGGTTTTTCAGTAATAGCTAATGCCGTCTATTTTTACAACTAAATTTAATGATGGTAATTAAGGTCAATCAGGGAACAGACAGGGTGGCTGCAAGGCTGGGGAACCATGACAGCCGCAATTAAGCATGGCTGTGATAGTTGGATAGCTGATAATTGGCCAGATGTTATCCAGTCTCTTGAGCTTTAACTTCTTGCTTAGAGCCCAAAGAAACCCTCATCTTCAAATGTAGGGAGAACATTTGGTAATGGAGTATACTGGCTGGGGATGATGGGCGTTATAGCCGAACACATAAGGAGAATGCCAGGTTGGGGTAACACTGTTGCACGGGTGATCCTAATTTACAGCTGACAAGTTGTGCTTACCAAAATCATCATCCATGGGGGCAAATACCCAATCCACTCTCAACTTGATCCCTCATCCATAATAGAGGACTCCAGTTTGGGCATCTCTATCAGACAGTGTTAGGTCTGGATTGTGGTCATCACTCTGAGATAAGATAGATATTGTGGGACAAGCCAGAAGCCAGGACTGAAGGGGAAGCTGGAATCAAAATACAAGGCAGGAGGGAGGGAGGGAGAGGGGAAAGAAGTCAATTTTAATGACCAAATGAGGACCAAGGATGAAATAAAAAGGTCTTATGATCCCAGAGGCGACTGAAGGGGAAGCTGGAATCAAAATACAGTATAAGCCAGGAGGGATGGAGGGAGAGGGGAAAGAAAACGGGTTTAATGACCAAATGAGGACCAAGGATAAAATCAAAAGGTCTTATGATCCCAGAAGTGGCTTAGAGACAATGTCAGAGTGCCAGCAAACTGCCCTCATCACTAGCCCTCATTAGTTCTTGCCTTCATAGCCTGTGGTCACACTGATATCCTCTGCATACAAAGTAATGGAGCAGCCTTTGCAACTGGTGCTCTTCTCATGTATTGGATTACAATGTCCAACACCCTCAACCCTCAACTATGGGGCCCAGAAATCTCAGTAGAACCACAGTCTCTCACAAACTGTTAGACCCAGTGGCTGCTGAAGTGGGAAATTCACCTTTAAATGAAAGCAGCTATTCCTGGTAGTGCTGAAAGAAACTGTGTAGACATCTCAGTCTGGGGTTCTCTCCTGTTAAAAGACTTCCTTAAGGAGCTATCCAGGGTGCTACCTATGTAGAGTGTGAACTTTGGCCTGGTTTGCTTGCCTGGCTTGCATTTAACCTCCTCCCTCCACAACAATTGTGTTGAAACCCCACTTACAGTAAATACATCATCACCTGGAAGAGAACAGGAGGCAGAATTCAAGAGCAAGCCACAACTCAGAACTGAAAGCTAAACCTTTCAGTACATATAAATACCAGAACACAGAAGACTTTGTTCCTTCATCAAAGTTTAATGGGAGTAGAAAGCCTTCTCATATGCTCATGTGCCTTCCAGTAGCTAGCCTGGGTGGGGAAATGGAAGCAGGAATTCATATGCTAACTAAGATGCAAGACCCACTCTTGCTTTACTCAATACAAAACATACACACATACACAAACACACCAGAGTCTCAAAAACTGTCACTTCCTTTTAGGATCACTCCCCCTTTTAGCATTTTGGGCAGTCTTTGTGGTCTGCGAAGGATCCTAGAGCAGAAAATTATTCCCTGGCCCAACTAAAACTGTCCCGTTATAGTGAAATAACCACTCATTTCTTGGTGGTGCCTCCAGATGGTACCTAAAACAAGAAACTATGACTCGTCAAGGACACATGACTAATGGCCGGTCCACATGGTCATTTTTGTCTTCCATTTTTCTCCACAAACATTGTTTTGCATTCTGTTTTTCTCCACAAACAGCCATCCTCTACTGCAGTGGTCCCCAACCTTGGGCCTCCAGATGTTCTTGGACTTCAACTCCCAGAAATCCTGGCCAGCAGAGGTGGTGGTGAAGGGTTCTGGGAGCTGTAGTCCAAGAACATCTGGAGGCCCAAGGTTGAGGATGACTGCTCTACTGCACAGGAGGGCCTGACCAGCTTGGACCAGCAAAATCAACTCAAAGCTGTAAGCTGCAGCTCTAATTGTTATCTGTGTGACGCAACTGTTCATAGAACTAAAGGCTTCTAGTTCTAGTTCCTGAAGTTCCTCCTGACATATATGTGCATGGTGCTCACCTTTTTGGCACAGGCCAGTCCTCCACACAACCTTCCAGCCCAGTCCTTCCCAAGCTGGCGCCTATCCTTATTTTGCATGCCTAATACTGACTGTGCTGGCTGAGGCTGATGGCATTGGAAATCCTAAAGATATGGAAACCACAGGCTGAGAAAGGCTGCTCTAGCCCATATATGAGAGTTCAAGAGGGGTTAGGCCAACCCACATTATTTTCTGCTCCTTGGGAATTAAAAAAATAAAGGTGGCCCCAAGAGCATGCCATCCCTTACCAGTCACGCTCCATAGGGTTTGGAAGATCAGCTGTGCAGATGCATCTTAATATATATGCACGAAGTCAGATCCCGATGCATGTCTGAAGCAAAATTTACCAGGACATTTTAAAAACCAATGCTTATGCAGGGGCGAACCCAGTTAGCCCATTATGTCCACACTACTGCTCCATGAATGCAGCCAGCTATTCAGGCAGCAAGGAAAGAGGGATGTGACTGAGGACTGATTCGGTCTCAGCATTTTTTTAAAGTCTAATTTTTTTTGTCTGTGTTTAAATCCAAAGGACAGATTACCAGACAGCATACATTGCATTTTCTTTTGTGTTGCAGTATTTATATCTTTTTTATTCTGTTTTGAAAAGAAGGACAATGATTAGTTTTGACCTATAGATAAATAAATAAATAAATAAATAGTGTTGCAGTATTTATATCTTTTTTTCTGTTTTGAAAAGTAGGACAATGATTAGTTTTGACCTATATTTGCAAATGAAGTTCTTAACTCATATATAAAATAATACAACAGGTATCACTGTTGTATCTGTGCCTATCTGCAGTCCAATGCAGACAAAACAAGTCCCCTATGGATGTCAGTAGGACATTCATGCCCACAGTTATTTCTTTTCAGCTAAGTACTTTTTAGAATAGGATTTTCTAAAGAAGTATTAAGTTTCGGCTGGGTCATACCCCTTACGTTGCTGTGTCAAATGTTGTTTTTAGGTACAGACAAAGCCATCTTCCATGGCAGCAAAATAGTGATTAGATGCATCTTTACATATTCCAGAATGACACCCTTTGCGCTGGCATGTAAAATCAGGCTGTTTTTCTCTTTCTCTTTCTTCCTCCTGCCACGGTGACAGTGGCTTGATTTGTCCAAGGGGCAACGGAACAGCTGAAATGTCTGTGGATTTGATGGAAGAGTTAAAGTGCTGCCTTGAATTTGCATGGGACAAATCAGCACCTCACTGGGCATGTGCAACATCTGCTGGCACGTATATTTAAATGGAAAGCTGTTTCTGCTGCTGCTGCCTATTGCTGAGCTTACAGGCTGAAAGAGGGATGGCTGAGTCTTTATGGAGGGAAAAAACCTCCCATTGGATTATGCTCATATTCAAGGGAGAGAGCGAGAGCTTTTTGAGAAGTTTAAAATGGGAAAAACTGTGTTGATTGTTTAAAGAGTTCGGTGGAAGGGTTTTGTTTTTTTGTTTGCTTGCTTGGTGTTTTGTTTTTGGTTTTTGGTTGGTTGGTTGGTCTTTGTTTAGGTACTGTTTCCTTGGGAAGTTGTTTTGTTTTTTCCCCCATATGAATACTCAGTCCTTCCAAAAAAGCATCTTATGCCCATCCACGGACTTCAGCTGCAGTAAAACCATAGGTGCCCTGAATGATTCGGAAGTGAATGCCTACAAGCTGATGGTGGATCTGACTCCATCAAGTTCAACAGTAAGTGTGGCAAAGATGTTTGCTAGTCTGTGATTCGAACCTCTTGCAAATAGTTCAGCTGGTAAATATATTGTCATCTTGAGTGGAACTGTACAGGAACTATTGGGTTCGGGGGTGGTGGGACTGTGAATGCAGTTAAGAAGCCAGCATCTTCCAGGGGAATTTCAAGTGGGGGATGTGGTCTGTTTAACTGGTGAACCTGCAATTAAATCTCTTTAGTTACTATGTGTGTGACCTCTCTTGGATTGAAGCTGGTCATAATTTCACAGGAGTCCCCATTGCAAAACAAAAACAAATAACAAAATGAAAACTTATTGCTGTTGTATATCTCTTGCAGAAAAAAAGGTTTGGCATATGATGAGGTCACATGATCAGAAAAAGAAAAAATAGACGGTAACATTTAAATTTGTTATTCCTTGTTATGAAATGACTTGTCGGTTTCATTAAGACTATGGAGTTGCCAGCTACCTTGTAGCTCAGTTCGGTATAAGTGAACATTTATCTGTGTTAAAACTGCTGTTTGTTGACACTACAGGAAAGGTTGTGGTACATTGTTCCCTTGGAAAGAAATTCCAGTATATTTTATAATTGAAGAAAAGCTATGAACTTCCAGAAGGACAGCTGCTTCAGTCTCTTGTAGCAACAGCAGCCACCGGTTGACACCTTTTACTCTAGTTTGAGCTTCCATAGACAATAGCAGTCTATCTCTGAGTAGGCCTATGATAGCTTATACTAGAATACACTTCTCATACAATGTCACATGACTCATTGTTATTTTGGTGTCTTCCTATTTTTACTGCTATATTGTTCCAATTTCTCTGGTGTTTGTGATAACATATAGCTTGAATTTACCTCAGGTGTTCTATAAAGTAAAATACCTTATCCACTGTTGACCTCATAATTGGGACTGGGAATCAAAATAATTCTTGTTCATGGCTTTAAACTGAAAGAAACAAAAAAAATAAATTATTTTGAGATGAGGAAGAATAGCAACTACTTTCTGTGATGTGCTGACATATGGCATGGAAAAAGCCATGCGTTTACAGAGTTGGGCCCTTGATCCTGATAGAGTTAGCTGCACACAAGGCTTGCCCTGCTCTGTTACACTTTGTAAGAGATCAATATACATCTTTTCCCCCCATCTACCAAAAAATAAATCCATTATATTGAAGATGGCTTGGAATTTGTTTAAATTGTCTTCTATTGGATATAAATTTTTTGAATGGATTTTGGCATAGGTATCAGTGAAATTAGCGTTTGGAGAGCTGTCACCTCAATCAGCAGTCCTACTCCCATGGCTGTCAGAGGAAGGAATGCAGAAAACCTCATCCCGACATCTATGAGCAGTTGGTGTTTCCCATGAGTTTTTCTGCAAGTTCCCTCCTTGTGTAAAATAACCATTTACTCAAGAACCAAACCCTAAGAGGATTATCACGGTCTGAATGGAACGCTATATAATAATTGGCTTAAACTAGGCTGCAGTTGTCCAGGCACCTAAGTGGTGCAAGACCCCTTTAAACCAATAGGACATACCTTTGAGTATTCATGCATAGTACTGGACTGCAAATTAGTACAGCCAACCTGAATAATATTGTGTTTTGCATACATATACAGTACTGTAATATAAAAATTACATCAAGCCTATGAAGACGGGAGGGGATTGGACTTTCAGGATTTATTCAGAGAGCAGCAGTGGGATATATCATATTTTAGAGAGTAACATAAGCATACAGGAAAAGCGCAAGCATAATAATCTGTCCCCAAGGAGCTTACGGTCTATATTAGAGAGGGAAAAAGAATTGTCTGGAAGGATAAGAAGATATGAAGGGGACGTTATGCAGGGTTTTTGCTTCATTTCTGTAAAGAATGACCTTTTTGATACCTATTTTCTTTAAAAACCCCACTGCCTCTTAAAGCCAAGAAAGGAAGCAGTCTGTCCCAAAGAACATGACAAAATAGCAACATGTAAATGGACATCAGGCTGCATAGTATTGGGGGCGGGGGGGATGACAAAGATGTAATGGGAAACGGTCCAGTGAAGATGTCATTTACAAATGGGAGCAGCTCAAAACTTTTGAGATTACATCTGTTGTTGACCTTTTATCTACATTAATATGAATTTATTTAGCTTCCAATTTCTACTGCCCCCCCTTTTTGTGTGAAATGATTATACTTATGGGCAACTCAAATCATACAAAATTTAGGCTGAAATCCAAAAAAAAGGCAGTGATGCTGTCCACCTTTGTGAACAGGATGACCTATATAGTCTGTTAGAAACTGGGGATCACCTGTCACTATGAAACTATAACCACAACAGTTATTTTATCTTTTGCTATCCTGAAGCCTCAGGGAGATGACATATTTGGACCACACCTCCTAGATTGCTGCACGCCCCATGGCCAATGGCCATGTCATCCAGGGGGACTCTGGGAGAAGCAGATCAAGAAAGTAACTTGGTTATCACTTTTTACATGGAGAAGATCTTGTTGCTTGAAGTAAAGGCCAAGATGCACATCCATCCCCCCCGCTTCATCTATAAAAGGCAGTGTACTATAGTGGCTATCAGCCTGGCCTATGATGAGAAAGACCTGGATTCGAATTCTTGCTTAGCCACAAAATTCTCTCAGTGACTGTAGCTAATCATAATCCTCATATTCACCTACCTTGCAGGGTTGTTGTGAAGAAAAATTCAGAGGAGATGAGCCAAGAGGAAATATTGGAATATAACCAATAAAATGAAATGAAAGATAAAAACTTACTAGACTGGTAACTGAATTTCAGTACAGGGTGTTTTGTAGGATTTTGAACATAACCTTGCTAACGTGTGAAATGAGTGCAATTGTACGGTAGTTGGAGAATTCTTTGGCACTGCCCTTCTTTAGGATTGGGATGTAGACTGATCTTTTTCTTTGTTTTTGCTGACTGCATAGAGCAAATCCATCTTTGGCTGCAGAGAATATAATCAATCTGATTTTGGTATTGCCCATGTGTAGAGTCGCATCTTGTGTTGCTGGAAAAGAGTGTTTGTGATGAACAACTTGTTCTCTTGACAAAACTCTATTAGCCTTTGCCCTGCTTCGTTTAGTCTTTGCCCTGCTTCGTTTTGAACTCCAAGGCCAAATTTACTTGTTGTTCCTTTTATCTCTTGACTCCCTACTTTAGCATTCCAGTCCCTTATAATGAGAGGAACATCTTTCTTTGGTGTCAATTTTAGAAGGTGTTGTAAGTCTTCATAGAATTAGTCAGTTTCAGACTTTTCAGCATTGGTGGTTGGTGCATAAACTTGGATTACTGTGATGTTGAAAGGTCTTCCTTGGATTCGTATTGAAATCATTCTATCATTTTTGAGATTATATAATACAGCTTTTCCCACCCTTTTGTTTGCTGTCAGAGCAACACTTACCAGCAATTCACCTACAATTAAGGGAACTACTTTCCTTTCCTGAATTAGCCCATTCTAATTTGCTCACCCAATTAGTCTTAATAGACATAACAACAAAAATAAAAGATTTGAAATAAAAGCTCCCAGATCCGCATGACTTAGCTTAATATCTTGATACTAATTAAGAGAGAAATGTTCAGTTCTTCCCTGTGTTAACAGAACTTTTTATAAATGTGAGCATTCAGATCCATTCATTCAGAACCTACATTTTTGTAAGCTGGATAAGGTTCTTTATATGAAAACAATAGGAAACATCATTTTGTTCTCTGAATTACTCAAGCCTCTTCGCCATGACACAGCAGCAATCTGTGGATTATCACATGTACACACCTCTAAAGAAGTTGTCTAGAGAAACAGGTGACATTTATTTCGAGCACTGTTTGATAGGATGGTCCCGTAGTCTCCTACACCTGAAGGAAACATTAGTTTAGCAGGCACAAGGCAGGCTACTTGGCCGATCCACAGCTCTGTTCTTCAGTATATCACTGCCACTTGTCTCTCCCCACCCCATTATGCACCCCATAATGAGGCGGCTACCTCATTATACATAGTGGTAGGTCCAGCCCTTTTGTAAAACTTACACTTAGCCTAATGCATGATAAGCGTGCTGGAAACATGCTTATTAGGAGATGCTATATATCATTTGAACTTTATCATGAAACAGATTTAGACTCTCTCTTTTATTTAATTTGCTGAGGAAAAACATTCTCTTTTCTCCAAACAGTAGTAACAAGGGTGAATCAGACTGCTCAGTGCTTACTGTTACCACCACCTATTGTTTACCTAGTTTAGGTTAGCTGAATTCATTCCTGGCAGCTTACAGGTATATTTGGACTATAACCCCTATATTGCCAGCCATGTTGGTTGCACATGATGGGAGCTGTAGTCTAAAATGTCTGGGAGGTATTAGTCTGGGAAAAGCAGGTTTATTTTATATGTTGCTCTTGAACAGGTTAATTCTGTACAGGTTAATTCTAAAAAAGTAACATTGTTTTTTAGGGGAACCCAATTTGTTAGTATTCAGCCCAAACAAGATTAAAAATATTCAACAAACATTACATAAATTCAATAAGGGCCATGAAAGAATCTAGGTAGCATTCCAAAAAAAAAAATTGCCAAGCAAAATAAGAATTAGTACAATAAAATGGAAAAAGAACTATCCCATGCTATGGCTGGCCTTACTTGGCTTCCGAGGGGCCACAGCACTTTTGTCACAATTCTGATTTATGGCACCTGCTTTCAGAATTTTCTAAGTACAGAATATGCAGAAGTGGTTTATCATTCCCTTCTGTGACTGTGCAGCTTCCCCACGGCCACACAGGCTGGCTCTTTTGGGATGCACAGTGGGGAACTGAACTCCCAACCTCTGGTTCTGCATCCAGATACCTAACTCACTACACAACATCATAATAGCCTCCTTGATTGACATCACAAGGAGAAGAGAAACAATAAGGAAGCAATCAGATCAGAACAAGGAGCATCAGTGCATTGCCCATGCCGTGCATATTCACTCTTCTACTGTAAACAGGTTTTGAGGCTTTCATGAGCGTGAAACTAT